TCCTTCCTTCCTTCCTTCCTTCCTTCCTTCCCCCCCCCCCTCCTTCTTTCTATAAAGTTGTTCGTGATGACTTATCACATTCACTTTTCCAGCACTGACCCCACCACCATAAAGCCACTACTTTCAAGGTGATTAAGTTCCATGTTTTCAGCCACAGGGACAGTTGAGAGAGTTCCAGAAGATGAAGTCATGAAATTTGCTTATAAGTGGAATGGTCACGGGGAGTATCATGTTAAGTGAAATGAGTCAGAAAGAGAGGGACAGGGGCTGCAGCGATAACACAGCAGGTAGGGCGTTTGCCTTGCACATGGCCGACCCGGGTTCGATTCCCTGCATCCTATATGGTCCCCTGAGCACCGCCAGAAGTAGTTCCTGAGTGCATCACCGGCTGTGACCCAAAAAAGGAAAAAAAAAAAGAGGGAGACAGGGACAGACATAGAATGACTGCACTCATTTGTGGAATATAAAATAACATGAGAAAGGACCAAACGTGATGGTCTCTCAGCATCTGTATTACAAACCGTAATGCCCAAAAGTAGAGAGAAAGTATGGGGGGAATTGTCTGCCACAGAGGCAGGAGGAGGGGTGGGGTGGGGCGGAGATGGGGGTGGATACTGGGGACACTGGTGGTGGAAAATGTGCACTGGTGGAGGGATGGGTGTTTGGTCATTGTATGACTGAAACTCAAACATGAAAACTTTGTAACTGTATTTCACAGTGATTCAATTAAAAGAGAGAGAGAGAGAGAGAGAGAGAGAGAGAGAGAGAGAGAGTGTGTGTGTGTGTGTGTGTTCCGGGAACAAGTAAATACAAAAGTTGATTTGTTATGCACCTTAAGGAGGCAGGTTGGGGATGGGAGGGAAAATGAGGATATTGGTGGAAGGAAAGTCACACTGGTGGTGTTGGAACACTACATGCCTGAAGCAACTACATAGAGAACAACTTTGTATTTTTAATTTAAAAAGAAAAAATTTTAAGGAGGAAAAAAATTGATAAATTAAAGTACCATTACTTTACAAAAAGAAAAAAGAGTGTTCCGGGAAAAAGTTAGATGTATACATTCTAGAACAGTAAGGTCTATCAATGTCAAGCTGTGAACAAAGTCCTCTGATGACTCAAGGGACAGTACAACTAGCTCCAGGCCATGAGAGCTAAGGATGCCACCCAGAAGTGACCCTTGGGCGGCCTTGGGGACTTAAAGGTGGGGACTAGGGAGTGAAAATGGGAGGTGGGAGGGGTGCTCTAAGTAGAATAAATAGCTGAGGCAGAAGTTCCAGTTCCTAAGTGTGGCCGGTAAGTCCACCGCGGGGACAGGAGACGTGAGGCTCTGGGAGAGGGAGGAGAAGGCTGTGTGTGCCCAGCTCAAAGTCTGCAATCTGTCCTGGAGATAACGGAGAGGGAGGAGCAGGTGACATGGTTAAGTGGTTCGGTTCCCCCCACCCCCACTCCCGCCAAAAAAGACGATTCTAGCTGAACTTGCAGAATGTACTGGAATCGGGAGCAGATCAGCAGCAAGTGGCTGTGACGAGAATCCTAGTGAGATGACGGTGGGCTGGACCTGAACAAAGCCTAGGGCTGGGGGGACACATCCACATCGGAGAAGAAAGGCCCGTCAACTGTCCAGTCGAAACTGGCACCCAGCATGATGCAGACCCTCAGAGAGCACCCTGAAACATCCAAACACACATGGAGACTGCCACGGCCATTTCAACATGTTCTATGGGCAAACACTCAGCACGGGACCAGCTACACTAGGAGTGAAGGTTCTGCTCCACATGCAGCAGGCCCAGGTCTAGCCTTGGGAACTAAGTGACCAACACAGGAAGCCCCAGGCCAAACAAGGGTCTGCTCAGCAGTTAACCGCCACATGAGAAACGTACAATCAGAGGAAGAAGAGACCCAACACTGGCGCTGTTTGCCTTTCCAACAGTAGAATTCCAACTCATTTATCACCAGTGTCTGGGAAGGTGCAAAGCTGGCTCTCAGGAGTTCGAGCGAGCGTACAGCAGACAAGACACTTGCCCTGCACGTGGCCGACCCCAGATCCATCTCAGTACCCCAGATGGCCCCCTGAACCCTGCCAAGAGTGATGTCTGAGCACAGAGCCAGGAGTAAGTCCCAAGCACCTCTGGGCATGGTCCCCAAACCAAAACAGATTGCTTCCAGGTGCCAGAATTCCCTGGCTTCAAAGCTCCCTGGAATTTTCCCATCCTGTTAGCAACAGTGGGAAGTGTGAGGACAGAGCATAGGGGTTAAGGTACTTGCCCTGCAGGTGGCTGACCCTTTTTTTATCCTGACACCGCGCCCTGGGTGTGCCCCAGAAAGAAAACACTAGAAGATTTCCAGAGCAAAGATCCACAGCTGCTCCTGATCTTAACCCTCCCATTACTGACCATGAGTCCTTTGGTTCTCTGAGGCGAGTAAATCGTAAATTGGTGTCTCACACCAATCTGGCGAAAACCCTCATGGACTGTGGATGCAACCACTGACCTGAATTCCAATCCTTCCTCCAGGGACTCCCCGATTCCTGATACACCTAAGCAAGAAGCCAGGGGCAGCCTTCATGGCCACTGTAGACTTGTAGACTGGGGGATTCCGCCCAGTGGCTCTGAAGAAAAGTCCTGCTGGACCATGACAAAGTTTTTCCTATGATTTTCATTTTATATTAGAGTGAAAAGTTAATACACAAAACATGATTACAAATGATGGTTTGGGGGGGGGGGCGTAGAAGAGTGGGGGCACTTCCAGTGATGCTGAAAGCTATTTCCAGCAGTTGGGGGTCAGGGGAACAGAGACACAAGGTGCTACTGAGGACAAACCCAGCCTCCCCCCGGCAAAGCAAGCACCAAGTCCACCGAATTCTCACTCCCCTGCCCATAACGGTTTCTGCCTGAGCAGTCCACAAAGTATTCCTCCTCTCCTTTATTTTTTTTTTCTATTTTCGGGGCCCCACCTAGCAGTGCTCAGAGGTTATTCCTGGCTCGGCACTCAGGAATTACTCCCAGCGGTGCTCAGGGTATGCCAAGGATCGACCCCAGGTCGGCTGTATGCAAGGCAAACACGCGCCCTCTCCACTGTGCTATCGGCCCTATTCCTTCTCCTCTAAGTGGCCTATGGTAGAAGATGGGAACTGCTGATATGGAGGGGCCTGGAGTCTCCTGAAGCTGCTCTGGCTGGTCTCCATTGCACAAGGCTGGACAGTTGCACCAAACCTGGGCTCTTCCTGCTGCTTCCTGGGGCACGGGTTTGTGTTCCTCATTGGGTAACTCCTGCGTGCAAACCTCCGGCAGGCCTGCCCGATCCCCCTTGCCCAGTCCCGACCTGAATCAGGTGAGTCTCTTCAGACCTGATTTCCTCCTGTGCTCGGCTATTCCAAACGTCCCTCTCTCCCTTTCCCTCTCTCGGCCATGGGGAGTGGGGATTGGTTCTCAGTCCAGGCTGTACTCTGGGCATGCCCATGGAAGGACAGGAACTGCGGGCAAAAGAGAGACATGCCAGGATGGTACCTTCTAAGATTCCGATTTAAGTGGTCTGACATGGGGTGCTGCTATTGGCATGTTTCAGAACTCCCCAGTGGATGCCCCTATGGTCAGTGCTGAGAGCTGGGGTCCTGGCGCCACTCTCCACTTAAGGTTCAGCTCAGGTCCCGGCTCCCAGCTCCCTCTCCCCAGGATCCCTGCAACCCAGCCTCAGCCGGTCCACTGCCTGGCCACTAAGGGCCTATCTCGGGGCATCTGTTTCCAAACATGCTCTCTCCCATGTGTGAGACACGGTCACATGTCAGACCTAGAACACAGACCGGGAAGCACTGACACAGAGACAAGCAGAGCAGCTGACTTATCAGAAGCGTCAGGAATTTCAAAGACCATAGGGGCTCCTTAACTTTGCCGCACCATAAATTCCTTTTGGAAAAAAAAAAAAAATCTGAGGCTGGAGCGATAGCACAGCCCAGGCGTTTGCCTTGCACGCGGCCGACCCAGGTTCGATTCCCAGCATCTCATGTGGTCCCCCAAGCACCGCCAGGAGTAATTCCTGAGTTCAGAGCCAGGAGTAACCCCTGAGCATCACCAGGTGTGACCCAAAAAGCAAAAAAAAAAAAAAAAAAATCTTACAAAAGCCATGAACCTTCTCTCCCAAAATAGACACAGACATTCTGCATGAAACGCCGAGGGGCTCGTGATCCCCCTTCGGTGGACCCCCAATTCCAATAATACCCCTTACAGGGCCAGAGTGATTGTATGACGGGGAGGGAGGGCATTGGCCTTGCACACGATCAACCCGGGTTCAATCCCTGGCATGGATATGGCCTCCCAAGACTGCCCAGGAGTGATTCCTGAGTACAGAGCCAGGAGTAAGCCCTGAGCACTATCAGGCGTGACCCAAAAACAATAACCATAAAAACAAAATCAAATTCCCCTGACCATGAACCCCAAACCAGATTTTCTCCAGCGTGCAGGTAAGATGAAGGAACTGGAGGAGGAAATAATGTGCCTGCAGGCAAGGTATGGCACAGCTGGTACAGACCCTGCCCATCCCTCGCCCTTTGTGCCAGCATTCCACTGGACTGCTCCAAACCCAGCACCTCTGTGGGGGCTGGAGCGATGGAGTAGCGGGCAGGGCGCTTGCCTTGCAGGTGGCCAACCCAAGTTCTATTCCTGGCACCCCATGTGCTTCCCTGAGCCCCGCCAGGAGTGACTCTGGGCACAGAACCAGGAGCAAGCCCCGAGCACCGCTAGGTGTGGCCCCCAAACAAAACAAAAACAAATAAACCAAGCAGCTGCAGTCTACTGGGCAAAAACCAAAAAGCACTCAGGAGACAGGGCTTTGCTCATGGGAGGCCACAAGACTCCCAGCTCCATTCCTGCGGCCACGGCCATAAACCCTCAGTCACTGAGTGGGGACTGAATGTTGCACCTCATTACGGAAAACAACCCAGACGGTCCACCTCTTTACCCCTCTCAGTTGCTACGGAGAAAAGAGCCTCCCCCCCAGAAACTCACCCGCTTCTCCTTGAAAGCCGGACTGTCCCCGCCAAGGGCCAGGCTGGAAGCACAGGTCCGGAAGTCCGGCAGGCCCAGAATGGGCAGGTACTCGTGGTTGAGACTGTCGTCATTGGCGAGCTGCTGCTCCACCTTCCTCACCACGGGCAGAACCCAGGGCTGGCTGTCATCCGTGCGGTACGCTGGAACGGGCAGAGAGACGGCAGAAGTCTTAGGCGTCGGCCAAGTGAGCGTGGGGGGTGGGGAGCGGGGAGCGTTCAGCCACCATCCAATCCAAACCGAGCTGGAGAGGGATGAAACTCAGGTGTTCACTCACTGTCCACTTCAGACCAGGCACTGGGCCTGGTGCTGAGCAAACCAGAGGATGGCCATGGTTTCTGTGCCAACAGGATAGGCGCTTCTTAAATACTGGGGTGCTGAAAAGCTGAGTAAAGTGAGACTGGAAGAGGCAGAGAGTGACAGAGTAAGTGCTCTGGGCCCATGAAAAAGTTCACACAGGTGGAGGCCGGAGCGCTAGTACAGCGGGTAGGCCGTCTGCCTTGCATGTGGCTGACCTGGGTTCGATCCCTGGCATCCCATATGGTCCCCCGAGCACTGCCAGAAGTAGTTCTTGAATGCAGAGCCAGGAGGAACCCCCAAATGCAGAGCCAGGAGGAGCCCCCAAGCATCTCGCCAGGTACAGCACAAAAACAAAAACAAAACAAAACAAAAAAACTTCACACAAGAACAATGTCAGCATCACAGGGCCCTGCTGGGCTTCCAAACACTCCCGAGACCATCTGTCCTCTAAACCTCCCACAGGGACTTCTAGAAATTGGAGTGAGTGTGATGCCTTCCAACATACACCCAGTGAGTGTGCAGGCAGTGTGAAGGCCTGCTCCCTCTTCTTGTTCCCTAAAGAACAGAAACAGGACCACAGCGAACCCTTGCCCTGTGATAGAAGCTTCCCGCAGGCGGGGACGCGCTGGCCCCTGAACCTGCCCCACGACTCTTTGTCCTTCGCTTCGCTTTGACATCAGCCACCTGTTTACCGCTGGGCGCTTCACCTGCTTCATCTGCTTCCCACTTGGATCGATTCTGAGTTTATTTCATAACAGCTCGTCCTGCTTACGGCAGACTTCGAGCACTTCCTGAAAGAATTCCGAGTTCATGGCGAGCTCCTAGCCCGGGTCTGTTTTCCCCGGGAGCGCGTGATGCTTCTGTTGGGGATTAGGGCCTCCGAGGGCAGCTGCCTTGGCTCGCAGCCCGGCCAGGCTCTCTGCGGAGGCCGCTTGACGGCAGGCACTTGCCTCTGCTCTGCTCCGGACTCCAGCAACCCTGTACCTTTGCAGGGGATTTTGGAAGGGAAAACCGGGAGGCAATTGGGAGTCCTTCACGTGTTGACTTCTACCCAATGTTGACTTCTACCTCCCCTCTTTTTATATCACTTTTCCAGGTAACTGTTATTATTTATAGAATACATGTTACCTGTAAAAAAAACTTGGAAAAATCCAGAAAGTAAATACAAATATGGGGCTGGAGAGATAGTACAGTGGGTAAGGCAAGCACTTGCCTTGCATGTGGCCGACCTGGGTTTGATCCCTGGCACCCTCATGGTCCCCTGAGCATCACCAGGAGTGATCCCTGAGTGCAGAGCCAGGAGTAACCGCTTGAGTATTGTGGGGAGAAGGAGGAAGGAGAGGAGGGAGAGGATGTGGGAGAGGAGGAAGAAGAGGAGAAAGGGGAGGAGGAGGAGGAGGAAGGAGAAGAGGAGGAGGAGAAAGTAAATACAAATATTAACATCTATTCTCAACACTTGAATGGTTTTGAAATTTGGTGTTCCCTTCTGAGCTTTATTTTACTTTTTTTTCATAAATTATCAATATGTTTTTTCCTCTACTTAAATAAATGACTTTTTTTTTTTTTTGCTTTTTGGGTCACACCTGGCGATGCACAGGGATTACTTCCGGCTCTGCACTCAGGAATCACCCCTGGCGGTGCTCAGGGGACCATAAGAGATGCTGGGAATCGAACCCAGGTCGGCCGCGTGCAAGGCAAACGCTCTACCCACTGTGCTATTGCTCCAGCCCAATAAATGACATGTTTATCTTTATTCTTAGCTATTCTTCAGACAGGTGCTATAGTTAGTCACATGTCCTCATCTACCCTGTCCCTTCATTCACTGAGTTGCAAACACTTGCCCACCAGAAAGAGCAGCTGCTCTGAATTTCATCTGGTAGCAGTCAAAATTCCCTGTGCTTACGCAGGCCAATATGGCTTCTCTTTTTACACAAAAGGTAGCAGCAGGCAGAAAACTATTCACTGTTTTGTTTCTAGTTTTTTTTCCAGCTGAAGACCTTTTCATATCTGGGCATACAGTTACTCTGCTCCTTTTCAAGATACGTAACTGAAATGCTCCAGAACTGACTGTGCCATTCTCTAGCTGGTGGACATGAGCACTTTACTATTTTGGGCTGTAACAAAATTATACTTCAATGCTGTAGCAACAGAACAGCGGTAGGGCGTAGGGCGTTTGCCTTGCGCACAGCCAGCCCGGCCGAGCCGAGTTCGATTCCTCCACCCCTCTCGAAGAGCCCGGCAAGCTACCAAGAGTGTCTTGCCCGCACGGCAAAGCCTGGTAAGCTACCTGTGACATATTCATATTCAATATGCCAAACATGGGGCTGGAGCAATAGCACAGCGGTAGGGCATTTGCCTTGCACGCAGCTGGCCCGGCCAAGCCGGGTTCGATTCCTCCGCCCCTCTCGGAGAGCCCTGCAAGCTACCAAGAGTAACTCGCCTGCATGGCAAAGCCTGGCAAGCTACCCGTGACGTATTCAATATGCCAAACACGGTAACAACAAGTCTCAAAAACGGAGATGTTACTGGGCCCACTCGAGCAAATCGATGAACAACGGGAGGACAGTCTTTGTTTTGTTGTTTTACCAAATCTTGAAACATATAACATCTTAAGTACATGTGAATCTAGCTGTAACACAGGGCTACAGATATAAGAGCGAACAGAGAGGTGTGCTGTTTCTGTGCTTCCCATATAGATCCAAATGGCCTCTTTGGGGATTTACACAGCTTATGCTCCTGACAGCAATAAAGCAGGGCCCGTGTGCCCACAGCCTCACCCACCAAGTAAATTTTTGCCAAAATTTGGGTGGTATATAAGAGTAGTTCTGGGCTTCTTTTTTTTTTGGAGGGGGGGGAGAGGACAACCAAACAATGCTCAGGCCACCCCCTACAATACTTTGGTAACCAAGTTTGACAGTTCTGTGTAGGGCCCAATAATGTGGCGCTACTCAGTCCCTGGGTGCTGGGGGCAACCAGGCCCACACTCAGTGATGCTCAGGGCCAGCACTGATCACTGAGCTTTCTCTCTGGCCCCCAGGGTAGTTTTAATTTCCATTTCTCTCATTATTAATGCCAATGGGCATTTGTCATATATATGAGTAACTTATAAGACAATCTGCTGGCTTATGCTGCATCTAATTATTTGTTAACATAAGTACTGTGATGAATATTCTTATATCGTGACACAAGAGTACTTCCTTAGGAAACATTCTAGATGTAAAATTACTAGGTTAAATGTTATACACCCAGTGAGATTTTACAAAATCATTCTGATTTTGTGTCTGTCTTCTATCATATCAATGACCTATGCTCCAGGAATGTGTCACCTATACATCTGAAATGGCTATCAATCTAAAAAAAAAAAAAAGGTAAAAAAAAATAAAAGGAAACAGAGATTCCTTCCCACAAAGCCATGAACCAAGCAACAACCTCTGGGTAGGAGACTCGAACTCACAACACGGTCACATCACCTCCAGCAACTCCCTCGCCCCCGGACTGACTCCCCCTCTCTACAACACCGAAAAGCTGACTTTAGCAGGCAGGATTAGGTCTGTTTTTTTTTTAAGTAGTACGAAAATAAGTAGTTCCAAGTGAGAGTGTCCTGAAGCAGATCACCCAAGCTAAGATCACAATGCAGCCATTGTTCAACATGTTCTTGGAATTCTTTTGAAATTGTGTTTAGCGGCAACATCTCATTATTATTTTTGGAGCTTCTCAAAGATACCAGATCTTCATCCTTTCAAAGGATCTCAGTTTCCAGATCCCTAAAACAGAAATCTGAAGTTTTTAAAGTTAAAAATGTTTAGCTTTCAGAAATGGTTATCTGCATCATGTACAGCCGAGGAGAAGGATGAAGAAACTGGGGAATATTGACAACAATTATGAACAAATGGTCTTTTGTGAGGCTCGAACTTGCTTTGAAGGTGATTCCAAGAGATTTCCCAGAAATCTTTGAGCAAGAGCAGTATATATATACCAACTATCTTACAGGGAAGATACAATTGGAATACTCAAGAATTTGAGTGTTCATTAAAAAAAAAATTCTATTATGTTTCACACATCTGTTTGGGTGTAATATATTAGAATTAGGACATTATGTTCATTTGTAAATCATGATTATAAAAAAATTTAAATGTGGGGGCTGGAACAATAGCACAACAGGTAGGGGGTTTGCCTTGCACGGGGCTGACCCGGGTTTGATTCCCAGCATTCCATATGGTCCCCTGAGCACCACCAGGAATAATTCCTGAGTGCAAAGCCAGTAGTAACCCCTGTGCATCACTGGATGTGACCCAAAAAAAGCAAAAAAATAAATTAAATAAATAAATAAAATAAAAAGGTGAACATTAAAGAAAATAAAAGAAAACCACACTGCCACTGTTCTTTGTTCTGTTTGGAGCTCCCATCTGCCAGTGCTCAGGGTTCCTACTGGCTGGGTGCCCAGGAGGTGCTCCCAGCAGTACCCAGGGGAGTACACAGGGCCAGGAATCAAAACCAGGCCTCTGGCAGGCAGAGCATGTGCTCCATCCCTCTCTCCCCTACCCAGAAGCACTGTTCTCATCTGTGTACATTCTCTGTACAACACAGAAAGTTCTGAAAACACACCTGGAGGCACAGTCTGGGCCAAAGAAAAACTGTCCATTTGTAGCTCCCCACCCCCCCACCCCACCCCCATCCTGCTGCCCAGCTTCCCCAGCGCTCAGCTCCAGATTTATTCCCAGGGCATTGCCTCCCGGCCCTAAGGAAGTAGAGATGGAGGCAGTAAGGTCAAACATTAACAAGGAACTACTACTCCCATCCTCTGGGGGATTCGCATGCTTGTCGAACCCATGCGTTTCGTCGG